CATAATATACTCACAAATTCTTTTGTCAGTCTGTTCTGTATAATCAAGATATGAAAACCATCATTCGATTAATCTGATAACAATCCAACAATGAAAATACTTTTATTATTATTTATGCATTTTTCATAACTTTCAGACTATCTATTTCATTAAAAAACTTCCAACTGAATTATCTAATTGTGTATCAAAATTAGGAAAAAAAACAAAACATCTAAAGAGTCATAACAATTGTTTTTCTTCATTCTTTGTCTCTTCTATAATTTTCATTTATGATGTCATTAATGCTATCTATTTTATCACACGTTGATTTGGATGAAATTGTCGACGAACACTTGACCTATAATTCAATTGGCAATTGAATATACACTCAGTCACAATGATCGTCCGCGGTAGTGTTGTTATATGTAGATTGATGAGAAAATGAAAAATGATAAAGGTTAGATAGGATATATAAAGGAGAGTGGTGATATTGTGACTGTCATCATATGAATACAGCAATGACATCAACACATTTTATGTTATTACCTGATATTGTGTTGCTTGAAATCTTCTCATATTTATCAAGTGAAGATGTTTTGTACGCTTTCGGCAACTTACACGACTTCCGTCTTCTTGATTTACTTACAGAATATGGAGCATTTCGACAGATTTGTCTTTCCTCACAATTGTCTCGTTACCAATATCAAGTTCTTTCAAAAGATATCTGGCGTTATGATTTGGTTCGCTCATTTGTATGCAAAGAAATGTTCTCTGACTATATTATTCATTTCACACCTTGTCAAATATTTACTTCATTGACTGAATTGCGAATATTTTTTTTACGTTGTCTAACTGATGATCTTGCAGAATTCGTTATTGCACATTCTTCTACACTTACGCATTTATCAGTGAAAAGAAGCGAGCAATCATATATACCGGAAAATTTCCGAACATTTTCCCATACTGTCTTACCTCATCTTAATCGACTCAAGTTGCTTGATACGGATTTGAGATGTTATGTATGGGTATGATATACGTATTAATAGTGATATACAAAAGAACAATATTGTTTATTTTTAGATTCATTGGAGTCGATTAACAGATTGTCTACAATCACTGGAACATTTATCTACATACGTAGAAAGTATGTCTGATGTGTATACATTGGCGGTAGATGGATTTTTTCCTTGTCTACAATCGCTTCATATCTATGTTCATAAATCTGTGATAAAAACAGTTTCAACTGGACTTCCAGCTATTGCAAACCTTCATATGCCAAATTTGGAAACATTTTATTTATATGTAAAAAAGCAAGGAAAAGCAAATGAAGGAGAAGAACAAGTCGAATGGGCAACTTTAGAGACATTAACTTCTCATTCTGTTATGCCTCGTCTTCGACGATATTCTTTGATCTATAATTTATCGACAAGTGTTGAAATTCAACATATATTTCAATCGTCTCTTTTCAATAATGACAAGCGACATATTCGTATTCAGTTTGCACTTCATATTAATTCATTGACTTCCATAGATTTATCTGATATTATTGACATATGTGACATTCATTCTACACATTATAATAATATTTTTGTGCAATATGTGAGTATTTTTCCGTTTTACCTATAAAAATAAATGTTGAATTTAATATTTATATTCTAGAATGATGAAGATAAGTCAAAATTACACTATACTTTGTTCACTTCATCATGGCCAAGTTGGACAATATTTTGGATGAATCATCATAATGTAGCACCACGCAGTGGTGTCCATCAGTTAGGAATCAAATCTCCAAACATTTCATTACATTCACTTGGTAAATTATGTTCTGATGCTAATGAATTAGTGTGTCAACATCCTGCATCGTTCTCCATGGTTGACTCATTAATTATGGCACCAACACCTTTAATCAATTTACGTTGTTTAGAAATACACAATGTCGTCCCGGGATTGGAACTTCTTTTTGATGGTAATATGCTTCCTCGTTTGCATTCTCTTCGTGGACTCATTATACCACTATTCGTTGCCTTTGCAAGTCGAGCGAATCAAATGAAAACTCTTGATACGGTTGATCATTTGGCGATTACAGATCAAGGAAGTAATGAAGAAAGGTGTTTCTCGTTCAAACAGTGGCATATAGTGCTTGATGCTCTACCTCGCTTGAGAACACTACTTGTTCAACTTCATAATGGAAAGTGTCCACCAATGGTAATGGCAGATCTATTTGTTAATTATATAAAACGAACAACTCGAGCACCTCTTAATCTTTTTTCTTGTTGCATCGATCATAATAGTGATGCCAATAACAAAGAACATTTTATTACATATTTAGAAGAAAGAATTGAAATGGTATGTTCTTCTGTTCAATTTGCATTCATCAGTCCGACAAGACTTGATGCATGGATGTAATTAATATTCTTGTTTGTTTCTAATAAATATGTTGAAGTATAACTTATCTCATTCCAAAATACTAAAAATTTTCTCTTAAAGAATTTTTGATCACTGAAGATTTTTTTCAAAATTAGATACTAGTTCTGAATAATTGTTTGTTTGAGAGATTTGTAAGAAAAGAATTGCATAAAATTTAGTATTTAAATTCATATATTGAATATAGAAAAGAACATTCTCATGAAAATTATATAAGTAAATATAATGTCAATGATTTTCTTAAACAAAACTAATATGCAATATAAAAGTCTTTGGATGCATGTCGAGGTCATTTCTTATCAGTCAAGTATCGAGTCAATCTGAACTATTTTTTTGTCTGAAAGAGTAATGTCTGAAGAATAAAAAGGATGAGCTGAGTCAAAATTTTTACTTGTGCTTTGATAAAATTTAAATACAAAACAACATTTAAAATATCTTTACAATCTGGTTTTTCGATTTTTTTCAATAGTTGACTTCACGATTTCGTCTGTTTCAAATTTAGAATTAAACTTATTTACGTATAAAACCTTTCAATTCTTATCATTTCATCTATCTGGATTTTTTTCTTTTTGGTTATATTGTCGATTAGAAAATTTACTTTTGTAATATTTCTTCTCCTGAATTATCAATTTGATAAAAATTGTGTAATAGAAAAAAAAATAATGAGTAGGGAAAAGCTTTGCGATGTAAACAGAAACTTTTTGAAATTTATGCGTTAGACACAGGTTTTTTTTAGCTCTATCTAATGCTATATTTTGGTTATGATTCATAGATATTGAAGTGTAATAAGTACTTTTTAATAGTTTTATTTCAACGAAATCAAAAATTATTGTTCCTGTGATCGACACTCATATCATCAACAATGCAAGTCAAATGGATTCTGGTGTATTTGGTTAATGTAGATCAGACTTAATTTGTCTTTCCTTGAGTATACATAACGGTCTTTGTGACGTAATCATTTGATTCACTCAACAATAATCCATGTAAAAAAATTTTGTGCAAAAAATCATGAAATAATCGATTAAAAATCAATTATAATCGTACGATTTTAATCAATAATTTTAGCAGTAATAATCATAGCAAAATCAGGTTTTAATCGATTACTTCAATTATTCTGATTGCAATCGATTTAGAATATTTTTAAAAATCGATTATAATCAGAAAAATTGAAATAATCGATTAAAACCTGATTTTGCTATGATTGTTACTGCTTAAATTATTGATTAAAATCGTATGATTATAATCGATTTTTTTATTATTTTTTTTTACATGGGAATAGTGCCAAATTAACTGATTCTAGTATTCTAAGCAATGACAATTGAGCTCATGTAACAGTTGTATATGATGCAGTTCAATTTTGACTCAATGATTTACGTGATTGCTCAAATCGATTCTGTATTGACCAGTATAGTATATCCTTATCAAGGTACGTCAACTGGTGAAACAAGCGATTGCAGTGTCCTCATTATTAGGATATCAATCATCGTTTTTCAATGGGTATGATATATAAGCTGAATGAGACAAGTTTTAATAGAGTAAGCTAGTTATTTATTCAAGATGTTACATCAATGAAATGCATAATCTGTTAAAAATTTCATAGTTTTTTTTCCTGATAAAATGGCTCTGATTTTTTGAAAAGAGAAAATATATATGTTAATCAGTATATTTAGATTTTACAAACATTTTGTTTTTCTGACGAAGATTCTCATGATGTATCTTATGACTTCGAAAAAGGACTGTTATATAGTAATTTCTTGTAAGGACTGTAAGAAACTTTTTGCTTATGGCTTTGAATATTTTAAAATCCAAAAATGGATCAATACACCAGTAACCAACGTAATAAAAGTAGTTAATAGTATGGATTCATTGATCTACTTTTCATGCATTAATAACTATAGATAAGCAACTGTGAGTGACGTTGCAGAATGATGTGCCAAAATTGATCACTAGAAAAACTTGTTAAAACTATGCGTATGGAATGACATTGAAGGCAGCCTATTGAAGTATACTAAAATTCAGTCGGATACATTAGAGTTCAATAATCTGAACAGCTCGCATCTTTTTCTTTCGTTTCTTTCTTGAATATTCTGTGGTAAAATACTAATAAAAGACAAAAATGTAACACATTGTTGTGTTTAGGAATATTCAGCTGTTTACGATTTCGACCGATGTAGCTCGGTCTACCTATCAGGTATACAATGATGCTACTGTAGCTGCCTATTATCCGTTTGATGCAAACAGAACATTGCCTGATCATAGTGTTAATGTCTTTACTGAATATACTTCGAGCACTAATGTAATATCATCGAATCATATACAAAAAGCCCTTTTATTCTCACAAGCTACAAGTTGTTTTCAAGTACAATATTTTACATTACCACGTTATTCTAACTTACCATTTTCAATATCACTCTGAATTAATTTCACTATGGCATCTAATGGTTCTATAGGGGTGTGGGTGTGGGTGTGGGGTGTGGGTGTGGGTGTGTGGGTATGGGGGGG